AAGATTTGGCACGTCAAATTCCAAGCCTGTAAAAACGCCATTAGAAATAAATCTCAAATTAACAAAATCATGAAATTCGAAGAGCAATGATCAACAACAAGTACGTTATCAAAGTTTGATCGGTTCGTTGCTGTATTTTTCTATAATCCCACGTAACATTTTATTGCGGAATTCTAGTTATTAAGCTCATATCGACTTTTATAGTACTTTTTATAAGTCTATTAAGGAAGCTTTATTGTTCATCTTATTGTTGCGCAACTGCAACGAAATGTTTTAAGTAGCATATAACGCTAAAGTGGAGAATTTTATAGGGCTCCGCAGCAATTGCTACATTATTTATAGCACAAGTAGTTTTATAAAGCTCGAAAAGAAGTTCCTTTAAGAGTGTTGAGCAAAATTATGGCATCTCTAATATAGATGCGCATGAGCTCTATAACACGTAGATGCGCATTGTATTTCTTTTAATATTGTAATTTATGTATGATATAAGACTTATGTATGTCAGTGTATGCGTGTGTTATTTTTTATATTAATATAAAAAAAAAACAAAAACATAAGTGTTAAATAAAAACAAAAGAGAAGTAAATAAAAAGGAGAGAAAGAAAAAGGAAATGAAAAAGAAAAGAGAAAAAATTAATAATAAGAAAAATATTTATGAAAAGAAAAGATAGATATAAAATTTATTTGACGTATAATAAACATTGTTGAACCGTGCACAATGTCAAGAGCTTTCATCAAACTGTTTCCAGTATAATGCCTATTAAATTTTGCGTTTTGAGTTAATTTTTTAAGTTTAATTTTTTAAATTTTTTAACTCTGGACCTTGGTGCCAATATTACCTTGGTGTTAACTATGGACGGCGTTTGAACCAATGTTCTTGGATCAGCTGGCAACATGTTCGGAAGTACTATATTCAACAATTTTAGTAACTCTTTTAAGGCATTTTGCTTGATATTGTAAAGGATAGCCCAAACTTTAAGATTTTCACGAAATCGTACATATTTTGAAATATTATCCTAAACTAAAAACAAAAGTCAAATGATTCTTACAAGAGCGATACAGTAACACCACAAACAATACAAAAGCTATATAATTGTAAATTTAATGTTTCCTGTCAATTTGAAATTCCTTTTGGCGCACTTGTAATAAATCATGGGAAAAATAAAAAGACAACACTACACTTATAACAACATTACCTACACACTTGTAGAAAGTCCTATTACAGCAATTGTTGAGAAGAGTTACAAAAATAGTTTTATAAAAGTAATTTTCCCCTTATAAGAAAAAAACATCTCTATAGAACCAAAAGTTTTGCTTGGGAGTGTAAAGAGAGCCTTATAAGACGATCTCCAAAATTTAGAGCACTAAAATGTTACGTGGGATATCTACGCAAGACATATTATATGCAGTAAATTTTTTTAACCAATTCATCACATGTTATCAAAATGAACATAGGGTAACAGCGAAGTGAGTGTTCGACATTTAAATGGTCCAAAAAACTATGGTTTATGCTTCTTAAGAGACCGTAAAATTTGAAAGGTTTTGCTGATGCTGACTGGACATTCAATATTGTAGATAGGAAATTATATTGTTGGTATAAGTTCATATTATCTAGTGCAGCAATATCATGGGATGCCAGAAAACAAAAAATTATTGCTCTATCTACGGCTGAAGCGGAATATTTATTGAAAAATATTCTTACCGAGTTGGGCTACAAAATATCAACACCTTTGAATATATAATGACAATGTGCTCAAAATATAGCCACAAATCCAATACTTCACGAACGCGTCTATAGTATATCTATAGTATATTTTTATGCTTAGTGCATACAAAGCAAATCACTCTTAAATATAATATGTCTTCAAACGAAATGATAGTCGATGTTTTCACAAAAGGTCTACCAGTGATCAAGCGCGAATTTTATATTGCTATTCTAGGTTGCGGAAATTACGATTGAGGAGGAGTTTGTTGAAATATAAAATATAAACCACTTGGAGATCAAACGTAATATGATCAACACTAGCGCCAACTTTGTTTGATATTTAATTACATCATTATGTGTAATATATCTGCCTCTTACCAACCGTATTGTGTATACAATAGGTTGGTTATGTGATGGCAACAAATTTTGCATATCGAGGCTTCGGTGGGAATGTGTAAATAAACTATTTTTGGCAACCTGTCGGTCCGTCGGTCTGTGTGTGCACGCGTGTATCTCAAGTTCTCCTGAACCGATTTTGATGAAATTTTATAAGTAAGTTTATATCCACCATTGCACGGATTGATCAACTTTGGGGATATATCAGGCCTCGGGATCTGCACTTTTTAACGGGCCTATTTTACATTTTTCACCATTTCAAAGAAAATATTCGAGCGATTTACTTGAAATTTCATCTATAAGCTTTGCTCGATCGTCCGCAAAAATTCCTAACTTTTGGAAGAAATCAGGCATCAGCAACTGGACGTTTACTACGGGCCAAATATACATTTTTTTGTATATAAAGAGAAATAATCAACCGTTTTCATTGAAATTTAATATTTAAATTCTTCGTATTAAAACAATGAAAATATAAATTTTTTGGAAAGATCAGGGCTCGAAAACTGTTCTGCGGGTCGATTTTACATTTTTTACCATATTTACGGAACGAATTGATGGAATTTCTTTAAATTTGATATTTGAGTTCTGGTTACCGAAACTAACTGGTGAGCATTTCAGGAAATTCGGGTTGCACAAAGAGAACATCTACTAAGAGCCAAATTTACATTTTTTTAAGTACGTTAACTATAAGCTTACTAATGTACTAAAAATTGGAAAGAAGTATTTAACAGACATTTCTATAATATTCTGTAACACTTTCACTTAACTAGACAATACACATTGCGGTCGGTTATGTGCTGACCACATCAGATTTTTTATATTGTTATACATTATAATGAACATTATGCATATGTAACTTCTTAATAAATGTTTACTTTTAAATGTCAACTTTTAGCATTTTTCCGAAAAAAATTTGAAAAAAAGTGCTTATTAGTTTCACTCTTGTCGTCCGTCCGTTCGTCCGTCTGTCGTGTGTCTGTTTACAAAACTTCTACACCCTTGCAGACAAAGAGCTGATATTTCATACGCTACACTACTAGAAACTTATTTCCGTAGAAGAAAATTTTTACCTATCTCCCTCCCTCTAAGAATTGTAGCCCCTCAAAGACATAAAAATGAAATTTTTTGACTACTTATTTTAAGGAAACCATAAATGTTTTTTTTAAATTTTTGTTAATACAAGAAGTAGTATGGGGCTTGGTCTCACGCGGCATAGCATAATTAAACACTATAAAAATAAAATGGTTGCAAAAATTAACCACTATATTAAGCCGCATTTTTGATATTGTTTTTCTTCTAAACAGTACGTTTTAGGAGTCTGAAATTTAAGAAGCTTTTATAAGTATATTAATAAATAGTTTATTTTACTAGAAGAAATTTTTTTGCCACCTTCAACCCTTCTCAAAATTATCATCTCTTGCAATTCGGAAGATTTGAACTTTTGACACCTTATATTTCCGAAACTGCAAGCTTTTCCAAATTTCTATAAATGCATAAAGCTAACGGTAAATGTCATGTCATCAAATAAATACAATTATTTTACTTAAATCATGCAATTTAGCCGATGAGCATCATTGTTTTACACTAAACAAAACGAACAAAATAAAAAAATTAATATAAAATATAAATCTTCGCTTTATTTAATAACACAAATAATAAATATAATTATTCACTAAATTTATATTAAAATGAAATTTTAAACAAGATATAAAATAATTTTCCAATGAGTGACATGTTATACTTCCTGTACGAAATTTACATGTGGACTAAAGAAATTCAGTAGTCCCTTTATTTGTAATAATTTGCTATACATACAAATGCGAAAATATTAAGATGTTTTGGTACATTACAGGAGTTTATGGCAATCTACATATACTATAAACTTTCGAGAAATATATTTAATAGTATCTACTTAGTTCGTTATTTCATTTTCGGTAAAAATATATATATATTATAATGTAAATATAAATATAATAAATATTAAAATAATAAAGCAATACAGAGTATCTCCAAAATTTGATTAATTGCGAAATTTATGTGCATATACTTATATTGCGCTTACTTATATATAAAACGAGAATAGATATAGTTGACCGCGTTAACTCTGAGATACCCGTACGAATAAATGATTTTAAATAACGGAAATAGTTGAAATACAGTTTCACACAACCTCTTGTTTTTTGTGTCTTGTTCGATTTTATAAATATATGGTAGTTGCGATGGTTAAGTCGACTCAAAATTTGATGCTGATCAAACACATATGCTTGAGTCTATAACTCAGACTATTATTTCTTAGCGTTACAAACGGTAAGGCAAATTAAGCATACCCTTTGAACATTCGTTCGTACGGGTATAAAAAGCTTTTATATTATTATTAATTAGCAAAAAAAAAATTGTACCTAAGATTTGAACCCGCCAAAAAAGTTCCATTTTTTACAAACTTATTGAAATGTATATACATTTCACACGTTATAACACATTCATTTTTTGCATGCGATTTCCTACATAGAAATAAATTTGCAATTTATTTCATGTGTGTGCTTAAAAACAGTATTTCTCACTTTCAATTATGAACTCATTTTCTTGAAGAATTTTCTGTATGACGTCATAACCTGCATTTGTTTTTTCATTAAAACATTATATTATGTAGGCGTAATATTATGTATATAGAAATGCTATGTACAAAGAAACTGAAAGCTTAACCGGTAAAAATTTTCTCTCTTTATTATTTTGTTTATTTATAATATAATTAGGTATGTATTTAGCAGAGAAAAATCTTTATACAATAAGTTTCCTTCTCCAATTTTCCTCATCTCCCTGAAAGCACTAATATTCGAGTAATATAAATTCTAGCGTACAATTTAGTTTGGTGCCTTATTTAAAACGGTTCACATGACTCTTATAAACGAAAACAAATATTATATTCTCGAAACCAAATATTAGAAAATTTTATTTTCAATAAAAAAAATAATATAGTAAAACAAAAGAAATTTTATTATTTTAATTTATTAATATTAGCAAATAAAAGAATTATATTTTTAGATTTATATTATTTTTGATGTTGAATGTAGGGTTACAAATTGAATAGAGGGTATTATAAAAAGTAGCGAAAGTAAAAGGAAAAGTAATAGTAAAATTTAAATAATTTTCAGACTGTGATAAAATATATTTAAAAAAGTAACTTTTAAAACACAATTATCATATACGAACCGTTATTAATTTCTCTATTTGAATATAAAATATTCATTTTCTCCTTGATTTTTAGTAAAGAATTTATAAATAACCTGCTCGACCTTATAATTTTTATAACAAGAAAAGGAGGAGACAAGGAAAAATAGAAACAAAAGCAGAATAAAACCAATACAAAAAATATAAAAGTTTAAAGAAATCTTCTAATTTAAAAAAGTTTAAAATATACAGGCACATACAATTACACACGAATTATAACTCTTATATATCATCTACATATCACTACATATGTACATATGTATGTATACTCCATAGTGCTCTCTATTAAGAATAAATTTGTTAAATAATAAAAATATAAAAAAAAGAATAAAACACAATTTCAAGTTTCAACAGTTCTTAAAAATAAACAGCAACAAAACACGACAAAATAAAAATAATTAAAAAAATTTCCCCATTAAAATTTTCCATTATTTAGAAAATTTTAAGTTTTTTTGGAAGATTAAATATAAAGGTACTTAATAATACGATGATAACTATCAGTACCTAAAAGAAAAAAATTATGGATACTAAACATACTGACTCAATTGATGCACCAGCACTTGTTCGTCGAAGGCGAAAAGTAGCCCGACAGACACGAGATAAAACACCAGAAGCACGCATGTTAGGCTCTCGAAGATTTTCTGATGATGGAGATGAAACGACTAGTAGTGCAGCAGATCAATCACAGCAACAACAACATAAAAGAAGATCACATTTAAGTAGATCTTCCAAAACCCCACCTTTAAGCCCAAAAAGGCAGTCTAATATTGACCATGGAGTTGACATAGATGATATTAAGAAAAATACTGGAAAAGCAATAGCTAAAACACAAACACGAAGTCCAACACATCAGTCAGTTATTGATTCAAAAACTTGCACCCGAAAATCTTTATCACCAGACCCATGCAAAACGACATCGTCAACTAATACAAAACCACGAAGTTTATCACCACCGCCTCCACCAGTACGTAAAAATTCCCCCACTAAAATACAGAATACAACACCACTAAAAGAAGATGATCAAAATATTCAAACGGTTCGTATGCAAATACGACCTCCTGGTTCCCATACTATATCAGCTCATGAAAGTAAAATCTTAAGAAGACGTTATAGACAATTCGCTGGTCAAGCAGCCCGTAGTCAATCTCAACCACGTGAAGGAGAAACGATTCTTCAAACAAATTCAGATGTCAAAGATTTGATGCGTTCGGCTAAAAGAAGTTTATCATCACCGAGACATAAAGATGAAACTGACGATAGTGGTCAGAGTGCTACACCTTTACCAGAATACTCTCCCATATCGGATATGCATAAGAAAATTGCTAGTGGTACAGATAAATCTGGTGCTGATAATGAAAAACTTTTAAAATTGGAACGAAATTTAAAAAAGTTCGAAGAAGAACGTAGAAAGTTTGAAATCGAAAAGACGAAATTCGAACGTGAAATGCGGGATCTTCATAAATTACATTATAGAAAACAGTTAAAGGAAGCAGAAGAAAGGAAAAGAATGTTAGGTAAACTATTGAATAATTTACATTTTGCCCTTTTAGTTGCCTTTTGCAATATGTCAAATGAGAATTTATAAATTCTTGGAAAATATTTATATTCTTTGTATGTTTGCCATTGCTTATTTAAGCATGTTTTAATGCAACCATTTATCCCATTAGTTTACAATCAGAATAAGCGGGATTTCTATTTTCTTTTTATTCGTCAAAATAATTAAACTGAAATGTCCATATTATCTAGAAATCTAAACAATTTATTTTCCAAACCGTTGCAAGCTTTTTATGCATATTCATATGTACATACATACATATGTACATAAATGTGTACATATTTAGATGTGCAGGCACATATTGCAATTAGAACTTGTTAAATTTAAAATAAAAATAAAATAAGAATATTTATCAGAAAATTATAGAAAAAACAGTGGAGATGCAGTTGATATGCTGAAATTGCCGTTAAAAACTAGTCAAAGCTTCAAAGAACAAAAAAAAACAGAGATACATCAATCAGAAGAGAAAGCGGTAAGGAGATCTGAATCGAATCGCCGTTCGAAAATTCTTCAAGATTATGAATCGTCAACAGTCTCTGACTCAGATTCAGAAGCTGTACGAACAGAAATAATTGAATATAGAAAAAATCACCACCCTCCACGACGTATCAACAGAGGACCACCCCCGCCACCTCCTGCAATAGATGCCCAGTCAACATCACCACTGCCCAATTGCTCCAATTCACAACCTGTAGATAATAAAAGAGAACATAAAAGTTCTAGCCGCAATTCGTCTCTTTCACCTTTGCACAAACGTAAATCATTAAAAGCATCAGAAGATCGGAAAGATGAAAATTTGTATTCACTCGAAGTAAAAGATAAAGAATTTATAGAATCAAAAACTGGGGCAGCTGAAAGTGATGAAATTACAACGGAAGAACAAGTTAAATCGCCTCGCATATTTTCCATACTTTTAGGCAGAACAGAAAAATTAAATAAGGAAAATACAAACGAGTCTGTTAAAACCAAAATAAAAGTTGACAAAAACCAGATAAAAAAAATTTCTTTTTCTTATTTGAAAATTTGCATAAGTCGAATGAGACTAGAGTGGAAGCAATTTAAACAGGATCATCAACGAGAAGTTATTTTAATTTGCTTGGATAGAAATCGTTGTATCGCAAATTTCATCATATTAACCTTGCTTCTCGGCTTTGGTGGTTTAGCATTTCGTTTCACTGAAGGAAGTGGCGATGGCGTTTATAAATGTGAAGTAAAAAAAGTTAAACGTGATTTTATCGATCAATTATGGTTACAAAGTCATAGTATGCGGTATGTTTCTGAATTAAAAGTTATACTTTTACCAAATTTTACATGTCTTACTTTGGACATACAAAATTTGGTATTAATTTATAATATTTTGGTATTAATTTTTTTTACAAATGTATGAATGTATATAATAAGAAAATGATAATTTTTAATATAGAGAAGAAGATTGGAAATCCTCCGCCAGAAATCGATTACGCACTTTTGAAGAAGAATTATACACCGTTTATGATGCAGGTCCAACTTCATCATATTCGGGATTAAAGGCATGGGGTTTCATTAACAGTATTATATATTGTTGGACAATTATAACGTCAATTGGTATTACCTGTTTAATTTAAATATATATTTTTTCTTTATAATAGTTTAAATTCTATCATAAAACGCATTTCATATCATAATCACCAAGCTGATCATAAAAGGCTAACCTAAAACTATAAAATTTATACTAGCTGATAAATTTTTAATTTTTTATCCATAGGATATGGTCATATTTCACCAAAAACCACATTGGGACAAGCAATCACAATAGTATATGCTATTTTCGGTATTCCTATTTTTTTGATTTTATTAGCTGACTTTGGTAAATTGTTTACTCGTGGAATTAAATTTGTTTGGGCTGTAAGTAGAATACGAAACTCATTAAAAATAAGATCTGAAGGATTAAATAAATTTTTCATCTTCAGTATGTTCGAAGATTATATTACACTGGAACTTGTCGTCAAGTAAGAAAATCTCAACAAATGCAAGACGTTATGAAAGGCGTAAACACAGTTTATGATGTAGCTATTCGCCGACCATCGCAATTCATTCGTGATATCGATATTGAAAATGCTGACAAAAACGAATCTGAAGCGCCAGAGACGTTACCTGAAACGCCAACATCGCCATACCCAGAAACACTAGAAATCGATGATGACTTTAATTTGCCAGTATCAGTGGCAACTGTTATTTTAATTTGTTACATTATTATTGGAGCATTTGTTTATCCTTTGTGGGAAGATCAGTGGTCTTACTTTGAAGCTTTTTATTTTGTATTCATTTCAATGTCAACTATTGGTTTTGGAGATTATGTACCAGATCATCCAATATTTATGATGCTAAGCACAGTATACCTAGTGTTCGGCTTGGCTCTAACATCAATGTTCATCAATGTTGTTCAGATTAAATTAAGTGACAGCTTTAGACATGCTAGTGCTAAAATTGGTGCAACTATAGGATTTTCAATGACAGAAGAGGAATTAAGTAAACATTCTCAAATAGGAACACCAATACCGCCTGCTGGTTTAAATAATATTCCAGAAGAAAACGATATAGAAGACAGGGAGGTTAGAAATATTACTGGATCAGAATCTGTAAACACAGATCCAAATGCACCACCACCTTTACTACCTAGGCAGCCCAGAATACAACCAGCACAATCAGAAGAACCTAAAAAAAAAAAAAAAACTTTCTTTTAACACCGCTTTTTAATATTTGTTAAGCTGAAACGTAATTCTAAATTACAAATATGTAATTTAAATAAAAAATAATATTTTAAATTACTTTAAGACATCACAGCTTGTTCACGAATTAAAGTGAAAGAAGTGAGCTCCATTCAGATTCTTTCAAAACATTGTTTATTTGAATTTTTCTATATAAAAAGGAAAAAAAAATTTCATTTGTTTTACTCTTGCCGCCAATTTACGTTATGCTTTATTTATCTCAAACCATCCAAAAAACAAATATTTTAAAATTTTTAAAATCCAAAATCGACATTGCTTTGTTTGCAATTCTCCATTTTTATTATAAAAAAATTTTACTTAAATGACATCTGTATCAATATTTTTTAAAAGTATTTTGCAATTATATATTTATTCGATTTCTTTTTAAAGTAGGCATCTTCAACAAATATTAGAATATTCCTAACAGCTTTGCTTCTGAACATTCTGCAGCAAAAAATCTTATAGAATTACAACAAAATATTTTCATAATCTTTTTCGTTCTCTATCATTTTTATTAAACAAACAACTTTTATTATTAACATTTACTTTTAACTTTTTTAACTAACATGAATGATTATCAAAACTCATGTTTTAAATTATATTACATCAATGTAGTGACCAACTGCTATGTCTAATTAAATATCTTTCAAAATCTAATTAAGAAAAAAAAGCATATCTATTACGCATTATCGTCTTCTTTAATCATCTCTTGGCAATGGTTGAAATTGTGTTAAATTTCTTGAAACTTCTTTAGCTAATTCTTCAGAAGAAGCAGCTAAAACGCGTCTGGACATCATATCGAAATCTCCTCCACTTGTATCTACCACAACGCCACCTGCTTCACGAACTATAATATATCCTGCAGCAACATCCCAACAATGTATACCCATTTCATAGTTTACATCCGCAGCTCCTAGTGCAACCATAGCCATATTTAATGCAGCGGACCCTAGACATCTTACACCGTGAGCAAGAACTGAAATTCTTTGAAAATTCTCATGAACGACTTTAATTTTCTCTGCATCTCTACTTGTTCCAAATTCCGAAACTACTAACGCTTTTTTTAACTCCTTTTCACAACTTACACTAATTTTCTCACCATTTAAAAATGCTCCACGACCGCGACGAGCTGTAAATTTTTGATTTAACATTGGATTATAAATAATTCCAATTTCAATAACTTTATCTACTACTAAAGCTATTGATATACATGAATGTGGAAAGCCATGGACAAAATTCATAGTACCATCAACTGGATCAATAATCCATGTTGGGGCATCTGTTAATTCTGCTTTTTGACCAGAACTGCACTCCTCTTCTCCAATAAATTTGTGTGATGGAAATTTTTTTAGCAAATTAGTCTTTAAATGGTTCTCTACTTCAATATCTGTTTCTGTTACCAAATCTATGTCACTAGACTTGCATATGAAAGACTTCCTATTTGCACTTCGAGTGGATATAATTTCACCAACTTCATTTACCAACTTCAATACAATTTCATTACATTTATCAAGATCTCTATCTGGATCCATTATGTTAAACAAATATTTTATCTGGAAAATATATTTAACAAATTACGTAAAATGTCTGATAAAGTGAGAAACCATAAAAGTAACTATTTGCCTACTGCTATTCTATCACTAATCAAATAAATGACAATAAATAAATTTTAAAAACCGTCTGCATCTAGCGATTTATTTAATTGTACAATACAGTAACAGAAAAAATCACAAAATTTGTAAATACTTTTATACATATCCATACGACGAGCTTATCAACTACCAAATCAGTGCTACCAAAGTACCGCAATTGCAGTATTTAATTGAAACACTCAATTGACTCTTTCTCCACACCTCTTTACTGCGTACTGCAAGCCTTTTCAAATTTTCTAATGATGCATTGCAATTTATGAATTAATATTTAAATACAATATCTGAATCCGAAAAAAATGGAAGAAAAGTTACCGAAATTGATGAAATTTATTGGAATCATTTCAAGTTTACTTCACATTTATGTGGCAGCGAAGAGATATTTTTTTTATTAAAAATATGTAATCACAAATGTTAAAAGGGGTTTATCAAAAAACGAAGCCGTAAGTGTAATAATTTCCTTGTAATTCATGTTAGGAAGAGCTACATCCTGACGAGTGGAAAAAATTTGCAAAATGAATTAGAAAATATAACGAGTTTCTCTTGAAATAATTTGAAGGTGATTTTAACTTATGTAGCATTTCACTTATAAACTTTACTATCATGTTATACTTTTGTATTAATCTTAATATTATACGTTACAACTTTAATTGATCGATTTCCTCGTATTTTTCCTTTTAAATTTTAGAAGATTATAAAGATTGATAATTTATTTTTGTGATTATAGGTGATAAGCTTTTGTTTTATTTTCTGATTATAGGTGGTAAAGTTTTGTTTTATAAATTTTGTTTCTTATAATTAATAAAAAATGAAACCTGCGATATGAAAGAAATTAATATTTATTTCTTTCTCTATAAATATTTTCAATCTTGAACCACATTTCGCCTCGCTTTAGGAACTATACAAAAATATTTTTTTGATCATGAGATAAAGGTACTGTTTTCTAAGTATTGCCTAATCGTTCATATCGCTGAAAGTCATGTAATACGGTGTCACTACGCTAATTGAAGTTAAATTTAAGTTAAACTTTTGAACAATTGTGACTTTTGAACTCAGCAAATTTGACACAAACACAAATTCAACGTCATAGATTTTCATCAAAAATCATTTCAGTACCCACATAAACATTAAGGCCCTTATTATAATCGGCGAAGCGAATGAAAAGTTTAGCGAATATAATTTTGATATTATGTCAAATCTGTCAAATTTGTTGAATGAAAATTCCGTGTGACAACCTTGGCGAATGAAACCAAAAATCAAAATAATACATAAATGTAAGTGTTTTTTTTGTTTGATATTATAGCATTTATAGTAATTTAATGGAAAAATCTAAACTATCTGTAAAGTAAGTTCATAAAATTCTAGAAATTATTGTAAAAAATATTGTTTAATATTAATTGAAGCGTAAAAAAATGAACCAAAAACAATTCGAGCATTTAAATAAATTAATGGACAATGACCCCGTAATTGCTAAAAGATGGAAAAGTTCAATTGTTTTTGCAAAACAAAAACAATGTAAATATGGGTGGTATTAGCCTCATTATTTTCGGAAGGTTTTCTGATGTCTTGCGGTAGCAACATTTTGGATCTGGTGAATGAAAGCATTTGCCGATCATAATTTAAAATGTCATTCGATTCATCTAGTCCATTCGACTCGCCTAGCCATTCGCTTCGCCGGTCATAATAAGGGTATAAAATTTTTCTATTACCTTTAAATAGAAGAACAAAATTGAAACCGCCACGCAGAATATCAAAACAAATTAAATTTTAAAACACCGTATGTACTTTAAATAATACATTCACATTGTAACGATTAATATGGTTACACGAAAGTATGAATTAAATATCTTTTTTTGTTTCAATTTTTGTAATATATAATTTTGTTCTGAATTTAACACAATCACGGTTAAAAATTATGACTTGTCGAGTATTATAAGAGTTTGTGTGTGCTCAGTGGAAGTTAAAATACCACGGCTTACAGAAATACTGAAAATGATTTTTGGAACGTCAAGTAAAGTATGTTTCAATCGTGTTTTCGGTTATGTGTAGTAAAACATAGGAAAAAGTAATTTCACAATTTGGTTTTTCCTCAAAATGTCACTTTTAAAAATGTTGAAGATATGAAAACAATGTCCAGAAAGAAATTACGTAGGTTAACAGTACATGAAATTTTTTAGTGATATTTTACTTATTTTTTTACTACTTGCCTTTACTCTTTTATCATATAAAAAATTAAAGAAAAAAATTGTTATATATTGAAAACAAAGACTTGACAGAAAAAAGTGATTATTAAAATATGAAAAATTAAAACGAAAAAATCTTGCACGCATTGTCGATTCTTAATTTTTAAAAGTTATGCGGACATTGAGTATTTCAGTTAATCTAATTTAAGATGTTACATATTTTGACATAAAATATATGCGTGCATTTGGATTGAGGGGAATGAAAAAAAATTACACATAATATCCAAACCTAGTATGAAAATCACAAATGAGTAAATGCACTTGAGAAATTTTTATCCGGTAGATGGAAATAGTACCTTTGATTTTCAATAGATATATTTTGTGTTTTCGGAGTTATTTTGTCATTTAATCACGATTGCTGATTTTAATTTGAAAATTTTTAAAAGCTTTTAATTTTATTTACGTTTTGAAACTAAAATGATAAGTAGTTTGTCAGAGTTTTTGCAAAGAAGAACATAATTTAAATAGGATAATAAAAACAAATCTTTCTTGTTACCATTATTTTGACATTGAAATCATTAAAATTTTTAATTTTAATTGCGAAATTTAAATTTGATTTTTGACTTTGGAGAAATGTCAAGTAATGCCTTTACAAGAAAAAAATTTCAGTTATTCAAAAATTTCAATCAATATTAGGAAAAACGAATTTTTTCTATCTTTCTTTATATCAAAACTTTTGTTGGACTCAGAAATTATAAACTTATGTAAAAACAAATAAAATTATAAACTTATGTGAAAATGAGTACTCTTCGACGTGCATGCCCACGCAAATGATTTTTTAACTTTTACGATTTTCTGAGCTGAGCTGTTTTTAATGTCTTGGCAATACCTTTTGACATTTCTTTTATATATACATATATTTTGCCCGATTTTGTTTGTTTGGCTGTTTTTATTCTTGGTTGTTTGTGGTAACACAAGGAAGAAAAAAGGAATAAGTTTTCATAATCGGTTGATAGAAATGTGATAACAAATAAAATATGAAATAAAATATATGTGGTTGTATATTTAAAGAAAAAGTTAATTTCTGCAATCAAGAAAATGAAAAAAACAAAATTTTGTATGAAAAACTGGATGTCAAAATAACTTTTGAAAAATAAAATTGTCTAGAATTTTTAAAATCAATGAAATAAAAAGAAAATAAAAATACTTATTAAATTCTAGTGAAATACACTAAGTTTTTAAAATAGAAAGAAAACGAAAATACGTGAAAATGACTACAATTAACAGCAGACATCAAAAATTAGAACAGCAAGTAAGTGTTTACTTTTGTTTTTTTACTTAAATTGTAAATTGTAAATCAAAAATTATACATATGTACATATGTATATAGGTACCTACATGTAGAAGAAATTGAAGTACATATTGTTTTTTTCAAATATGTATAAAATTACAAATGCATATGCTTATGCAAGTATATAAGTATGAATACGCTCGTTGTTAAGAATAATATTTAGTTTTTAATTAGCTACTCCGAAGCTTTTCACTCTATATACATAGCTACATATGTAAGTATGTATTATAAAGAAGTGCTTACCTACTGTACTTTTTTGTCCTTGAATTAATAAATTTCGAATATGAATGTAGAGTCCTTCAATAACATTTTTTAAACAAAATAACTTTATTTACTTACTGTTCTAAAAGGATACGTCAATGTCCATATAGCTTTTAGGTTGGCTCACATTTGAATAAAATATGCTTATTATGTACATACATATGTACATCCATTGATACGTACAAATAAAAAATATGCATATAATGCTTTTATTGCAGATCAATTTTGCGAATCAGATTGTCATTATATAATTGTCATTACATACTCGAATAAAAAAAAACATAAAATAAGTAATTCCTTGTTATATTATCAATTCATATCCTTGTGCGTGAACATTCCATATAAATGCATTATAAAATATTGGATTTTAAATATGTAGGTTTGTAGGTATCTACATACAAATATTATATATATTTAGTTAGGAGGTTAGTAACTTAATAGTTAGAAATTTAGAGTTATATTAAAGTTATTGATCTCTGAAATGAAAACTCAATAAAAGCGAACAACATTTAAAACATTAACATATTTAGAGTTAATACATTGATATTGAATTTTATTATATCTAATTAAAATGGCTTAAAGAATGGTTTTATCAATTGATTTCTCAAGTTTCTAACCAATAACAAAACTGAAGAATATTTCACTGCACGAAAAAAAGTGTTCACCTGAAATGAAAGTGGTATAAATGCAGATTAAAAAAATTGGTTCCATATACTTTAATGTTCACAATCGAAATTGTCGGGCAGCAACCGCTCCGTATCTAAATTTCCAAGTCTAAAACATATATTTGCAACAATATGCGTTTTCTTTTTTTACATACAAGAGAAGTTACATAAGAGTTTGTTCTTCATTTAACTTCAGTTTTAAAAAATTATTAAACGACAGATTAACCTCTCTATATTATTCGTTTTTAAAATTAGAGTCCTCAGATTACAAATTTTTTTAATGTGATCAAAGCTTGCTCCAGCAAGTTGGAATAAATTCTGAGCTAAACTACAAAATACATAATACCGCGCACGGTAAAGTTTCTAATCTAAGTAAGTATAAAAACTTGCTTTTCAAATATTTAGAATTGGCTTTCATATTTATATGTTCAATTACTTGAACCTGTTCATATTTACATGTTCAATTACTTGAACCTGTCAAACCATTCCACAAAAACTATGTCTAAAATATAATTTGACGCACGACTGCCAAGCTTCGTAAACCTTACTGTATTATTTTAACTTTTGTAGTTTTATACCAGCTACCCGAACCTCACTAACCAGTAACCATTCCAAACAAACTTCAAAGATATGTGTGACCTATAATTGGACACATGACTGCCAAATCAATTTAATAAACCTAACTTTATTATTTTTCCGATTATTTAAAATTAGTTTTCGGGGTTGTATGGCAGTTACCTATATCTCACAAGCCATTCCATAAAACTTGATACTTGATTCCAGATTGAACTTGATGATATTCTTGGGCTATAATTGGCACTGTCAAATTTCATGCAGCTCTGGATTTATTTTTTTCCGATACTTGGTATGGGGCTACCCGAACCTGTCAAGCCATTCCATTAAAACTTTGAAAATATCTCTGACCGTGACAAATGACTGCCAAGTTTTATGAATCTACTTTTAACCCGTTTATAGTAAAATTTTTATTCCGGACCAGATGCGAAATCTCAAGGGTTAGATACAGATATCGAGATATTTCTTCTAAAATTTATTGTATTTCAATAAAAATATTAAAATTCTCTAAGATTCTAAGATTTTTTATCAAAATAAGGGATCTTAAAAATGTTAACTGTTTGTTAGAGTGATATTGCAATAAGAAATTAAAGGTAAGTGATAAATGCGGTTTTCAAGATCAATAAGAATAAAAAATAATGACAATTATTGGACTTTTCTTTTGAATTGTCTTTTAAATCTTAGCATAGAAAAGGTTTTCGTACTATATCTTCTGTACTATAAAAGGCTTTTCAACACGTAATGACTTAAATTAAAGCTGGGGAAAGTGACAAAAATTGTGTAATGAAAAAATTTCGAAGTTTCAAAAAATTTTATTGGCTTGTAAAAAAAATTAAAAATAAAAGAAGGAAAAAATTGGATTTTTCCCAAAGTTCGAATACTTGGTATTCCGAAAGTACATTAATTACATAATCAAGCCGGCTTTTCAGAAACTGTTTATTTGATGCTCCTATCTTTTTGGGAACGGAAGTTATAATTAGAAAAACTTAGATAAGTAGAAATTTCGTGGAAATTCGTTAAAATCCCTGTATCTCGGGAACCTTTGAATTTCACACCAATTTTGGCATAGAGCTTTATCCATTTTCGACTATCTAACCAACGGTATATGTTGTTGTATATTTTTCTGAATCACCCTGTATATTCATGTTCATACCGCATATGACTTTTTCAAGTGGTTCAAACCCCATACCAAAGTTAATGTACCGAGGGTGCTGGCTATGCTGGTACCTTTTGCCTTATTTTTATTCTTGTATATAATTTTGTCTGAAAATTACTAAATTTTATCAATTATTTTATATTCTATTAATCTAAAATATTACGGTAGGCTAGTCACCTACCTAGCTAACTCACTATGACTATAGAAACTAGGGCATGATAGATAGATATCATGCACTAGCCCGATACTCCTCCTAGGAGTGAAGAAGGAAAAAAAAAAAAAAATCTAAAATGTAAGGAACATAATTTGTAGGAATATTGTACTTACATGTGTGCATATGTATACTAAATATACATTAATATATATATTGGGTGAATTAATAAAACCCCTATTTATACAAACTTTCCTACTTCATATTCTTAATAAAACTTTAAATAATGAATTCCTTGTCAAAATAATTTTTCATATTTCCCGAGTTATAAATAAAAATCTAAAAATTAGACGGTTTTCACATATTTCAACTTTGAAGCCCCATAATTCGAGAAGGAGGACCCAAAAAGTAAAATGTCACTAGATACTTTTTGTTTGCCTGAAGTCATTCTAACACCCTGCTTCGAGAATACCATTGAGTCTCGGACACCATGTATATGTGTACATAATATACATACGTATATATAAATTAATATTAATAATTTTTGTGAATGAAATCATTTTAATATATAATAATAAAAAAAAATAAATTTCAGTAACGAATACTTTAATTTTCTTTCCTATGTTAATATTCCCCACTTAATTACGTAATTATTTATGTGTAAAGAATGGTTCACTTTCAGCTGAGAATTTTATGGATTAGATTTATTGGAAAACGGTTTAGACTTGTTCCCGCTCTATTTAACGAAGTAATGTAGTTAATAAAATAGTCTTGTTTTACGAAAACCATAAGCAAAAACTTATTCTTTCCATATTATTTATAAGTTAGTTTAACAAACAATAATCTTCATTTTTGAAATTAACAAAATAAAAATAGTTACTTATTTACAATAAGAATATTGAACTTAAATAATTACCATGTTTTTTCGTCCTTAAGTACTGTTTTACAAAGTAAGTTACACTTTCAGTAAAAAAAAATCCCCCTTAATCATCAAGTTCCTAAAATCAATTTATATTTCAAATATTATTTACCTTTAATATTTAAATTTTGCAGTTCCATATAATATACCTTTTGTATAGTTATATAATCTCTTTTATAGTTTATAAAATATGTATACATATACCCGTAGAATGCATATTTCTTTGTGTAGAATACATGTATCATAAATTACACTATTACAGCTTTGTGAGTTATTTTGGTAATACGCCAAATATATTTCGCTTATATACTTTAAAATTAAGTTTGTATGTAACACATTTATATGTATATGTATGAATAAAAATTGTTTTTGATAAATTTAAAAATAAATTCAGCCGAATTTTATTTGATTTTTTTTTATAAAATTATAAATTTTTACATTGATGCACACATTATCAAAATATGAATTCAAAAACTTATCCACAAATATATAAATTTGAAAAAATAAAAATTGAGTTCCTTAGTTCAGTATTAATAAAGACCATATTGCACCAAAGACCATAAACACCAAATAAAATTTCTGAAAGTGAAATTAAAACAAGTAAAAACGTTTCAGTCGGTATAAACCGATTGAATTATACCCTGCACCTTTCGTTATTGTGTAGCAATTACTCGAACCTGTGAAGTCATTCTATAGAAAATTCACGGATATGTCTGACCTATAATTGGACATCCGACTGCCAAGTTTCATGAATCTGACTTTATAATTTTTCCAAATATTTAAAATTAGCTTTTGGAGTTGTATGGCAAGTCCCCGAACTTGTCAAGCAATTCCACTAAAACTTCACAAATATATCTGATCTATAATCGGACACACAACTGCCAAGTTTCATGAATCTGACTTTATTATTTTTCCAAATATTAAGAATAAGCTTCTAGACTTGTATGGGATCCACTTGAACATGTTAAGCAATTCCACCAAAACTTCAGAAATATATGTGACCTATAACTCGACATACAACTGCCAAGTTTCATGAATTTGACTTTATTATTTTTTCAAATATGTAAAATAAGCTTTTGGAGTTGTATGGCAAGTCCCCGAACTTGTCAAGCAATTCCACTAAAACTTCACAAATATATCTGATCTATAATCGGACACACAACTGCCAAGTTTCATGGATGTGACTTTATTATTTTTCCAAATATTAGGAATAAGCTTTAAGACTTGTATGGGAGC